CGGTGTACAGGGTGAGCCGGCTCGTCAGGCACGCAAGGAGTACTCCTAGAAACGCGCAGGATCGTGTCTTCCCGCTGCCGGGCGCACCCGTTATGAATACAGAAGTACGATTAGCGGCCAGGCCGTACGAGCACGCTCCCAGCAGCGCTGCCAGGTGTCCGTCCGCCCCCCAAAAGGTATCACAGAGGCACGTAAGGAAGGCGGGACCAACCGCGAGCGCAAAGATGCTGGCTCGAGTCCTCGGATCGTGCTCGTTGCTCAACGAGTCATGGGACAGGCGTAGACACTCCGCATGCCACAGCGCAGGAGTCCGGGCGTCCTCTTGGCCGGGCAGCGGAGAGTCAGGCAGCGTAGCTAACACGCCACTCAGCAGCGTCGGCGTCCATTCTTTGCGATAGGATTGTTCCTCCGCAAGCCAAAGGTTGAGGAAGCTTTGCAAGGGGTTGGAAGCCCCCGGACCCGCAGTAAGCGATGCCTGCGCAGCTTGCGTTTCGTGCTTGCCTCTGAAGACTTGGCAGACCTCCGGGTGAATGAGCTGTGCCCATGTGTCGTGCCAGTTCCCTCTCACCACTAGCCCGATAAGGAGGACAAGCACTAAATCTGTGAGAAAGCCCGGCAACCACTGTGGCTGCCGGATGGCATCAAGAGGCGAGTCTTCTAGCGGAACGCCCAATGCAACATGCTGCCTTTCCCTAGGCATGTGTAACAGAGCATCCCAAAGCGGGGTAGAGGCTCCTCCGGGCAGAACCTCAAGCTGGCTGACTCTCGGCAGTGAGGGTCGTTGCGCGAATTGGTTGTGCTGTTCATCAGTCAAGAGCAGGGCAATGGTTATATTGACTGGCTGCATGGCCTTACTTTCTCCAGGGCCGGTGAAAAGCTTCTTCGGGGCAAGGAGCTCTATAAACATGCCTGGGTAGGCCACATCCCCCTTGTCTTCTCTCAAGGTAACCAGCAAAGCAGTGCCCTTGGCCGGCACTTTACCAGCGACAGCAAACCACTTTTTAGCCCAGTCAGGGACATCCGCCAACTCCGGTGTAAGGAGCATGACCGATGCCCTTGGGTAAACTCGATGGAGAAGGCAGATTGGCCATGTATGCGTGCCGGGCTTTATCGCCACAGGGGTGGCGGCCCGCTTGACCGCAGCTTGCTCTGGGTAGTGATACTGTTCCGAGGGCTCCTCCTCGATTTCTGCTTCCGAGGCCATGGCTAAAAACTGATAACCCAGCATGTCAACCAGGCGCTCTAACGACAGGTGGGGGAGCCACATACCCAAAACTAGTTTCATCGTGGGACCAAGTTCATGATACGGGGGCGGCAAATCAGCCAGATGCGGCTTGGCATCCGTCAGGAGGACTTGGGTACAGTCAGCACGGAGACTTGCAATGCTCCGGTTCTCAGCGGAAGGTATCCGGAGAAAAGCCTCCATATCGGGGCGTCTGATTTGCCGTCCCAGCACGGAGTTGATGAAAGTTTTAGACTTATCCGAAAGCTGGACAGAGCCACACGCAACCCCCATCAAACCTGCTCGCGCTGTGCGATCCATCCGGGGGTCGGCCAAGCCGCAAATCTTTTTAGTCAATTCCTTATGCACATAATCCCCCCGCGTGAGCTGGAATAGCTCTTCACTGTGGACAAAGTGACCATAAGAGTGTCCACCACTGCCAAGTGACTCAGGTCCAGTGAAGTAGTAGAGACGCGCTCCCGCGCCAATCGCTTGCGTCCTTGCTGCCTGGCTGGGCCGGAAGATACAAAGCTGGTCGCTCTCATGATGGACAAGACTAACAGCGTGCCGCAATTCCGAACCCAGGATATATTGCAGCATGGCCCGTGGCATGGCAACGCCGCCCAAATGTGCCTTGATGTGGACAAAATCGCCCTTGCAGTCAGGAAGCTTTTGGCGCTCATGCCAAGCGATAGCCACAGCAGCGCCCGTATACGACCCAGCAGAGAAACCCGTAACGCACAGTTTGCACTCGCCAGCTCTACCCGCGGCGAGGCCCACATGCAGAGCGGTCAGCGCAGCAGTATGTGGCAAATGGGGGATTGGTCCTCTTCTACCCGAATGCTCCGGACGGCAAACATCCCCGGCCCCCTCGCTTCGCATCCCTGGCAACGTCGCTAGTGCGGTGACCTCAATTAGTACTGCGTTGAGCCGAGCCCTGCAGCTAGTCATCATGCCCAGTGAAGTGCCCACTCCATTGCCTGGTATGCATGAGCAGGTGCCGTTGGACCAGATCCATTATCGGCAATGTCTACGCAACACCCCTCTTGCCGGAACCACTGCTCACAAGCACTCTGACTTTGTGTTTGCGTGGGCACTTTTAGGAAGATACATACATGAGGTTGGCGTGGAAAACGGCCGACCTTACTGCTGGCCGGCCAGAGCCAGACATCCAGTTTGGCGCCTCTCCAGTCAGGCAGGTCAGAGGGGTCAAAACATGGGGACAAGGCCCATATGAACAGGGATTTCTTCCCTTGCTCATGGGTTACGGCGGCTCGCACTCCCGTTTGGCAATCCTACCTGGTTCTGACTGATTCATGGCGAACCGATACGCCGAGGTAAAACCCCCTTCTTTTGTGCATGGATATGGTGCCAAAGGCAAAAACATCTTGCCGCAGTGGCGGAGTGTGGTACGGCTGCCTACTACCCGAGTCGGTCTGGGGCAACGGGGACACCGTCCCTCTGTGGGCCTCTGTTGGGAAAATGGGCGGTGGACCAGTGCGGCTCCAGCTCTTCCCTGGGGTCCTCATGTTTTGGAAGAAAGATGCCCTATCTTCCTGCAGGGCCACCCCGAAATGGCGCAGTCGACCCAATACCAACTGGGCCGCTTGCTCTTCTTGCTGCCGCTGCGCATGCTTGGCTGGCCCAGGGGGATCTGCCGTGGCCTCTCTTCGCCGCAGACATAAAGGTCACGCCGTTGGGCCTCAGCGGGATGAATGGGAAGGCTGAGAATTGTGAAAAACGCAGAGCTCTTTTTCACTCCACGCTTGAGCCAAAACACCCAGAGGTGTTCGGCAAGTCTTTCGCAGAGTCAGCGCAGCTTCACTTTCGTGAATTCCATCTCAACTTTGTTAAACAAAGGAGGAACACATGCAAACGTCCTAATGCTTCTCAGGACTTCAGTGCTTCAGCAAAACAAGCATACAAGTGCACAGCCACTCTGCTCGAACCTCAGTACGACGACACGAGCGAAGCGAGGGTCGGCGGCCAAGGTTTGAAGAGCAAACTCAGAGCAACACGCACTTCTTCAAGGATACTCCTAAAGCATCTCGAGTGCTTCTCTGCTCATCATGCACACTCCAAGCATCTCACGTCAAGCTCAAAGCAAGAAACACTTTCAAGCCAAGCTCCAAACATGCTATGTCCATGCCTGCTTCTGCTAACACCAAACAAACGGTTCAAGCACAGTTCTCAACTTATGCAATGCAAACTCGTGGTTCATGTCACATGTGCAAGACATCCTGTCAACTGTAAAGGCACTCACAAGGAAGTCAAAAACTTTCACACCCCCTCATGCCTGCAACAGTTGCGTCCTCAAGTCCTGTCTTCTTCCATAGCTCGTCTCGCACCCTTCAGCATTTCTTCTCCTAACAGCTCAGGGTACACACCTGACGCCGGGAGCTGAAGGTGGATGTGTTGGTGGCTCTCATCACAGCGGTTCCTAGCCATACTGTTGATGAAATTCGAAGAGTTACTACAAAACCACCATCTCTTCCAGGCTCTTTCAGAACCTTTCTCGAAGCAACAGCGATCGACGACACACCCCTTCGCAAGACCAAGACGTTGACCTACAGACCTAAAGACCGTTTCATTCCACAAGTCAGATCTAGCTGGCCACTCGTGAGAAAGAAGAAGACGCGGACAGTTCGCGTACGGACGGAGAAGGTTCCAAATTCTTCGCCAAGACCTCTTGTGGACCAAAAGAGACTCCCGCCACCTGGCGTAGGACTGTCCACCTTTTCGAAATCTCAAATGACGAAGTCCGCACCCAGCCGAACACGGCGTAGACAAGTGCGCATACACCTTCACCCCTTCATGAAGTAACACGCTAAAGACTTCTTTGAGCAGCTGGTATCCGTTTTCACTTAACAGATCCACTTGCTTCGTTACTCCAAAATACGCGATACGAGGATTCTTCGAGCAAGCTTTTGACAAAGAGCTTCCTTCTTCACAGCAGAGCTCAACCACAACATAAGAAGCCTGGTTCCTTGCTACCTTCTCTGCTGCGGCTCGCCAAGAAACTGGGACGTTCAGTTCGCAGACTTCATCTGCTGGTTTATTGGGCTCTTTAAACGTGACAGAAACGCTGGTTCCGGAATTTTTCTCTTTCCAGGGGACTGGTTCCGGAATGAGGCCTGCTAACATTTTGAACACTCAAAGGCCTGCGGAGTCACTCAAGATTCATCGGGCTCAACTTCAGGGAGCAAAGTAAAAACACAAATTAGTACAACAAAATGTGGGCTTCTACACAAACGGAAAATCCTTAGCACCCCGCCTCACAGTGCTTCGAGGTTCGGAGTATCTGTGTACATAAGGATTTCCGCCCACATTGACTTCAACAAACCAGACAACTTAGCTCAGGCTCCCTTTCGACTACGATCAGCTGTTTCGCTGATCTGCCCTAGCCAGCTCAAGGCCTTTGTGACAGCTGCTGCTTTTGAGCAGGAAGTTCAACTACGCTACGGCTGAACTACGGAATGCATGCTTGTTTGCCCAAGCGGAGGCCACAGGCAACAGAGTTGCCATCACTTAGCCATTGAGGCTCGTAGTAAAAAGATTGTGATGGCCTAGCTGCCATCGCACGAGAGATGAGTCGGCTACTCAAATCAAGGCATTCGGAGTAACACATTCGAAGTGCGGCATAAAAGGGATTGGTTCCAAAATGGAACATAACAAGTTTCGGCTAGCCCGGGCAAAGTCAAAAAGCATCATGAGCATTACCAAGCATAGCACAACAAGTTGTTGGGTTCGGATTGTCAATCTACTGCGTGTCATCGCGTCAGGGTCTGCACACTCGGCACGGTGTGTAACCCTTCTCCACTGCTTCTCTGCGGCTGATTTCCGTCACTCCATCTGAATGCTTCAGCTTGGTGCATGCAATGCGATGGAACGCATAGCCTTGTCTCGTGGATACCCAGACGTCGGGCACTCGGGCCGGTCTAGCAGCTGCCTTGGGGCGCCTACGGGCTTGCGGCACCTCCTCGATGACTTCGGAACTCTCGGACGCTGCATGCTCGTCACTTCCTCGAGCTTGCTCATCACGGTTCCGCGGACTCGACTTTGCCTTTGACCTGGCACCTCTGGCTGCTGCCTTTCTGTGCTCTTCAGGCACATCACTATCATCAGAACCAAGAGGCAAAGGCCGGGCAGGCGTTCCTGGAGCACTTTCCTCTGGTGCTTTCAGCACTTTGTGGAACCGACCGGCAGCACCCGTGCGTGGACCTTTGCTCAACCTTACATCGGCTTCTACGTAGTTTGCGTAGTTTCCAACCTGCAATTGCACCGACAATGCTTCTGGCTCACGATGTCGGCAACAGCAAGATGCGGCAAACATGCAAACGATGAGCAACATCACTTGCAACCCAGCGCTTGCGACGGACGGATACTGGCTCAAAAATTCCCCGAAGCACTCAAGAACTGTGAAGAAAAACATCAGGCACTGATGGAACAATCCTGTGTTCTCATCACTGTCGTCATCCTGATCAGGCTGACCAGACGATGGCGTCATCTGAAGTGCAAGAAGCATGATCGACAGCATCTGAGCACTTGCTTCACCACGTTTGGCAAAATGCTTCAAGTCACGACACACTGCTCTGATTGCACGTGCATTCTCGATCATGGCTGCATGCGCTTGTCCAAGAGGGGCATAGCCGTTGTCTGCATCTTTGATGCCCATCAGCCCCAAAAGGTATTCGGTGCGACCTGGGTTCAAGGACTTGGTACCCACATCACTCACGTTGCAAGCCGTCTCAACCGGGACTACATTTACCAAACCATCAGCTACTTTGGACTGCAGCCATAACAGCTTACCGTCAAGGTGGCGCACACGTCCAACACCTGTGCGCACGCATATCGCACGCGCTGCGGCGTTGTCGATTAGCAGCTGGATGGGTGCAACGGGACCAAACATGAAGGTCACAGCGCGATGCAACAGGATGGCGTCGATGCAGCCACCGACTGCACTGTGGAATTCACTCTCTGCAGATGACAAGGAAACCACACGCTGCGTGCGCGATGAGGCATGAAGGAGCTGTGAGTTCAGCAGCACCACGCATCCAGACACGCTCCGGCGTGTCAGCCGGCAACCACTCCAGTCTGAGTCAGTGTAGCACTCAACGATATGTTCAGCCTTCTGGACCTTAAGGCCTACACCGACTGCCGGTGTGGAAATGACCAAACGATGATGCTCATGCTGGGCCAAGTACGAAACCAGGTGCTTAAGCAGCTTCCAGGTGCCATATGTCGGCTTCTGCATGAACCCTGCCAGGAACCTTATGCTGAACTGGCATGCAACGGTATCGGACTGCAAATAGAGTAAGATGCCCGTTGCGGACCGGTATGTGGATGCCATGTCGCTTGGCAGCTCGGTGTCACCAGGGTCATCGGTCGGCAATCTACCTGAAGGAAACGGGGTTTTCCTGGGCCGAAGTTTGGCACCTTTGAGGTTGCACAACTCGAGCAGTTTATCCACATGCTTAGGTGGCACCTGAATCTCCAATTCAGTGTCCGAAATCAAGCGATGCACTCGTTTTAGGAACGTCAATTCGTCCCCAATGTCTTTGATCCACTGTACAGCGATGGTGTAGCGCTCACTTAGCTTTGCAACGACATGTTCAAGCGTATCACCGTGGGCCGTTGCAAGAAGATCATCAACATGCATGAGGCCTCCCCCAGTGGCACCTGGGTTCGGCTCAAACTCCCCGCCTGCGCCTTCACTGCTTTCATTTGGAGGCATACGGAACAGCGATGGCATCTCAGGAAAAGGTTGCACACAGCATTGGCTAACCAACACATCCTGGAAATCCCGAAACCATCTTGCAGAGCCGTCACGCTGTCCCGGCAGGCATTTGTGTAATTTAAACCAGACCACTACACCATTACCCACCTTAACTGACGTCACCGTATCAACCTCTTGACTTACAGTCAAGTAGGCGTCGCTCACGTCGAGCGACAGCATATGCCATCCCTGGCTCCGGTGTGTCATGTACAGGGCCGGTACGAGCCTTGTGGTTAGACTGCTCGAAGCTGGCGAGTATAACCCAGTGCGTCCTGGGTCCAGGAAGTGGTATTCTCGGGCTACTAGGCGGGCACGTCGAATCCACCCGAACGATTTCAAACGCCATGTCACCACGAATTTCGTGGTCAGGGTCCTGTGTCCCGGGATCGGACCATCGACTTGGGCCAAGACTTTCATGCGCCCGAGCCGCTGCAGCTCGTACTTCATGGCGATCTGATCGATGCGTGCCAACTCTTCGTCGGAAAGTTCCGGTTCACCGTGGTCCAAAGGAAATATCAAGGATTGGGGCATGTCAAGGGTTTGCTCTTGTCCATCATCAGCAATCTCAAGATCACCGTCACCAAGATCCGCCTCGATCTCTTCATCAGGTGACTCGCCATCCACATGATAAAACTCCTGGTCTCCAATTTTCGTGACTGCCATCAGACGAAGCTTCTTTCGCACAGGCGCAGGCTCACTGCTTCCGGGCGCAACATGATCGGCAGGGGTCTCGGGAGGACTACGGCCAGCCTGATTAGAACCACTAGACCCACTGGAACTAGAACCACTAGGGCTGGCCCCTACACCCGCAGGGCTTGGCTCTGGCATTGCGACATCTTCATTGACTGCATCAGCTGAGGCAATCCCCGCCTGGTGAGGCGTTGGGGGCTCTGGCGTTCCCGCTGCAATGCTTGGACGAGGCAATTGAGGAACAAGTTCGGAAAGCATTGCGTCGTCAGGCAGGAGCCGCTGCTCTGGTGGAGGTGCCTCGGGCGGCACCACCTCTGCGTTGACAGCTGGCCCGTCATCACCCGCAGGTGTACGCTGTGCACGTGCTTGTCCAACATGGCCGGCGAGGAAAGCTGCTTGCGAGTATGGCATATCTCGCAACACAGTGCAAAGCTCATCACTGAAACGCTCGGGGATGCCTCTCACTGACCGGCACGAGACCAAGAAGCCTCCAGGCGTCACGCCGACATGTGCGTCGGACACAGTCAGCTTGCCCAGCCACAGCATTCTAACCCATCTAGGATGACCCTTGACTTTGCTGCGGATGCGACCAAAGCAGGTCTCACCAAAGGATATGATCTTCCCGTTGTACGGACGACCTGTGACCAACTCAAAGCTGGTTATCCCATGGCTCTTCACGAACCTGTGTGCCATCCATCCGGCGTGCCGCCAGGCCCATCCATGGATGGGATCAAGAGATCCAACTGCGGTCTTTGTCTCCTTTTCATACTCAGCAAGGATGGTGCATGTCAACTGGCGCAAGAACTCGATGGCCTGTTCAGCAGGATTGCTTTGGTGGTCTCCAGGCTCAGGGGCTTCTATGTGTGTTTTCAACCCAAGCTTGGTGCGATACGCCTTCACTGCCGCCTTCAACGCCAAACATGTCGGCTCATTGTCACTCTTCAAGGTGACTTCATTGTGCCCCAAGACATTGAGATAGCGACAGAGCTCGGCTGTAGCATAGCGCATCGATTCAGTGCCTCCTTTCCGGGGCAAGGCCCACGCATTGCGAGATCCAGTGTGGCTGTCAGCAACAACAAGGCACACAAGCTTCTTTGCGGGGTCCTTCGGACGACCAGTGTAAGCAAAGTCAAAGGACAACGTGGAACATGTACGTTCACTGCCACCTGACCTTTCATGTCGATCGCTGCGAGCACGGAACTGGACACAAAACGGACACCAGGCTTCATAAGGAACATGTGTCAAGGAATGAGCACGCCTCTGCTCATCGGTGGGCATGCGAACCGGCGCTTGCTCACGTGGCACAGCTGCGCCGTCGTCGGCTTCTGCATGATGCCTTTCCAAAAGCTCATGCCGGCGAAGGTGGTCCTGAATGCGTTTGAGGACCGTTGCTTTTCCCCCGCTCTTGCCCAATCCAAGCGTAACACATGCTGCCCTAAGGGTGGCCAAAGTGCAGTCCATGCTCAGACGTACGCCGTCAACCACAACATACTCAGCATTCGGATTTGCAGCTCTTTGCTCGTCACTCTCTTGATTTTCGTCATGTCCAATGCCTGCACCCTGATCTTCAATCACATCACGATCTTCGTTGAGGCCTTCAAGAGGAAGCATTGGGTCGTCATCATCCGATTCAGCACGCACTGGCACTGGCTGTGCCGGGGCAGGGATGTCCCCTTCAGGGAACAGGTCAAGCATGTTCACACGGGCGGAAGTGGCAATGGTGATGATCTCATGCAACCTTTCAATCCCTTGGTGAGGCAAAGCACTCTCAGGATCATCAAGACGTGCCACTTCTGCATTCAGCTCGTGCAACTTCCAACCTTGTGGCCCATTTATGAGCGTCGTACGAAACCTGACATCATGCGTTGCAAGAGCAGTAGCACAGTCGATAAAGCACGAAGAGTTGCATCGGTTGGCATGCACACCTTCAGACAACACCTGGAACCTCTCGGTGAGTGCAAGGAACGGACCATGAAGCTGCAAAGCGCGCACATCACAGGTGGGGTCACTCATCACAACACGGATGTCACCACGCACACACAAGGAATTTTGCTTCAGGTACACAGGAATCTTGATGCCATCGCGTTCAAGCACCAGATTGTCGTCTTGATCTCTGCCAACACTCCACCCGACACGGTAGAGTTTGCTGAGTGACAACAGGGGACTCGTCACGGGTGCAATGAGCCAGCGATCCTTCACAGATGCACCGCTGAGCTCAAGGACGGCCTCACGGACGCCATGCGATTTCAAAGGGTTTCCCTGAGCATCCCGGTACCAGTGGTTGGAAGATGCAACCTTGCGACCCACATTGGCATAGGACTCAGGCAGGCAAGAGTGGTCAGCGCCTGAGTCCAACACGATTTCCACCTGCTGGTGGAGCACATGGTCACCTTGCCACTGGAGGGCACGCACATCACCTGGTGGAACAGGCTCCTGGGTATCATCGTCCCATGACAACCAGTGTGCATCATCATCACTATATGTCATGTCGTAGCACACACACGAAGAAGGACACATGGAATGCTGCGCGGGCGCTTGAACAGGTGGAGGCCGAATCTCGGGTTTTCCCTGGAAAACGGACAATTCCGCCTGGGGCGGAATCTCGGGTTTTCCCTGGAAAACGGACAATTCCGCCTGGGGCGGAATCTCGGGTTTTCCCTGGAAAACGGACAAAATTTCGCCTGGGGCGTCCTGGCTGAGAACCCAAGAGGAGAGTTTGCAACCGCATGGGCTCCCAGCAGAGGAGCACTTCCTGAGATGGCACAGACCTCCATGGCCCTGGAGGCTCGGGCATGCAAAGCGCTAACAAGCTGCACAAACTCATCGTTGCGCCCATCACGCACCATGCGCACATGCCCATCACTTGCATCCAGCTGGCAAAGGTCAACTTCAACACGGCGCACAGAGCCCGGGACTGCAGTGCTGGACGACGGCACCGCGGAGGATGTCGCGGCTTGCGAAGCAGAGCCACCCACCGAGGTGACAGTCGTGGATGTCTCAGCGCCGACGACCTGATTCACTGAGGACTGACCCTTAGATCTCCAGCACTCCTGCGCATAGTGGCCCTTGCGCCCGCAATTGAAACACTCAATTTGCGACTTGTCGACCTTGCCTTTGCCCTTGCCTTTGCCTTTCTCATCTTTGCCACCTCCCTTTTTATCCTTGCCCTTAGGTTTCCCTTTAGGATTCTTGCCTCCATCACCCTTAGGCTTGCCCTTGCTGCTACCCCTGCCTTTAGAGTTTCCGCGACCACCTTTGCGCTTACCCTTCTGAACTGCATCCACTTCCATTGGCACGACATCAGGATTGACAGGAGGGTCCACGATGCCAAGACTCTGGTGAACCTTGGTCACACTCCAAGACGTGGTGGTGATCTCATAAGCAAGGATGTAAGACCTGACGGATTCATAGGTGGACTCTTCGGTCATGCTCAGCTGCACGTGCTGACGGATGGCCTGAGGGAGACACCTCATTAGGCTCCCAAGCATCACGTTGGGGTCGATTGCACGACCACTGACGCGTTCGTACTCTCCACAAACACGCTCCAGCCCATCTACCTGCTCCCGAAGGGTCTTAGACTTTTCAAATACCGGATATGCCATCACGGCATTTAAAAGAGCCATTGCACGAACTTTTGATCGCGGGGCGAAAACGTTGTTTAACTGTCTCCATACTTCGAAACCAGAACGTTCCTGCACTTGCTTTAGAATCGACTTCGGTTTGTGATGAAGAACGGTGGCCAGTATTGCGTATAGGCGACGCGAGCGATCAAGGACATCGGCCGGAAGGCCTTGCAGGGAGTATGTGGTGCTAAGGTGGGCCTCAACATGGGCCAACTCTTCCTCGTATCTGCCATCGGCAAAGATAAGCCAAGTGCGAAAACTATGCGCCCAATCTTGCCATTGGGACAGGTCAAAGCCATGATCAGTGGAACCGAAGTTGGCTGGCCTGCTTAACACTTTGTTGGCGTCACTGAAGCCTGACATACTAGATGCACCTGCATTGCCTGAAGTCCCGCCACGGACTGCCTGCACGGCGGCAGCAGCCGCTTGCGCTGCAGCCTCAGATGTCATCATCATTTGCTGCATCATCGCTACCATCTGACTCATATCCACACCACCTGCTGTCGGTGACCCTACAACAGGACTGAAAGGATTCGGGAACGGTCCCTGAGGACCCGCAGTGGCACCTCCAGGGGTTGCATGTGGTTGCAACTCTGGATCAGAGATGTCATCATCAGCATCAGCCATATCACTCAGTGTCACAGGTACGGCAACGCCTCAAGACTCAAGCTTGCAAATTTTGCACGCCAACAAAGGATCTCGTGGAAAGGAAACAACAAGGGGTATGCTGCTTGTCACGCAATCCTATGGCACAATGCACCGATGCAAGGTCACGGAGGAAAAGGTGGGCTTGCCTTCCACCACACACTATGGCTCTTCGGCACGGCCGCCGGAACTGCACACTACGAACTCAGCTTACAAGGATCTGTAGAAACCCGAACGGCAGAACCTAAGTTCAAAGCCTGGGCCCCTGAACACAAACCCCAAACAAAGTTCCCACGTGTTCTTGTCACTACCTCTCTGTGTCGGGATTGGGTCCTGTCCCGCACGAGCCACCTCACAGCCCTGACCAAAGGAAGGACCGCCAGGCGCTCCGCTACCATGCTAACATTTTGAACACTCAAAGGCCTGCGGAGTCACTCAAGATTCATCGGGCTCAACTTCAGGGAGCAAAGTAAAAACACAAATTAGTACAACAAAATGTGGGCTTCTACACAAACGGAAAATCCTTAGCAAGGCCACAAGCCTCGCACAAGCTGACCAAACTGTCGTTAGTTGGGCTTTTTGTTAGAGCATCTGCCGGGTTGACAGCACCTGGTATGTGCTCAATCGTGAATCTTCCAAGCTGGACAAGTTCTTGGAGAAAAGCGGCTCTTAACTCAATATGGCGGACCTTCCTCAACAATGTCCCCATTTTGGAAATGGACACGGCGCTTTCAGAGTCCGAATACCCCTTAAGAAGGTAGTACCCCGTTTCCCGGTCCTTCGGGATGCCCTCCAAGATGGTCTCCGTCAAGAGAGCAATGTACAAACCTTCCCTGGCTATCTCAGTAAGCGCCGCAAGCTCACTCTCGGCGCTCGAAAGGGCTGTGGTGGACTGCTTCCTGCTGAACGTCTTTAAACAGCAGTTTTCCCAAGTAATCACACCACCACTAACAGAATTCAGGCTCCAGCTTGCGTCCGTAAAGCACGATACCGCTTGGGGATCCGCATCGTCTTCCAGGATCTCCCGAGTCGACGGAAACACCTGAACCTTATGCGGAAGACCTTTGACCCATTTGAGAACATCCCTCATGCATGTTTCAGCTGCCTCGTCAGGGGCCGACTGATGACGCCCCAAAAATCCGCAGCAGAACTGCAAATCTGGTCTGGAGAGGGCAGCCCATGCTAGACGCCCTAAGGTCCTACGGTACTTCTCGTGAGCAGCTGGACTGATCTTTTCGGTTTGGCCTTTCTTAATGAGGTCAGAGTAGCGCTTCTCCAATGACGGAAGCTTGGGGTTCGGTTTGGTTATCCCATACTCTTCACAGCAGGAATCCAAATACTTAGCGTCCAGTCCAAAATAGACTCGCTTCTCTCCCTTATTCCTGAAGATTCGCCGTCCTAGAAAGGATACTTCTCCCGCACAATTCTCATGAAGCTCACCAGTCAGTTTCAGCTTGTAGCGTTTCTGTAGATCTTCGAAAACCTTCTTCCCTTCGGAGGGGTCCTCAGAGTAGATTAACAAATCGTCAACATAAAAGAGGACCAGCGTCAGACCCTTGGAGGTCTTCCTGCGGTATATCGTCGGGTCCAAGCTTGGACTGAATCCGCTCTCCTCCAAGTGCGAACTCAGCTCCTTATACCAAGAAAGCGGTGCTGATCTCAGTCCGTTCATGGCTTTGTGTAATCGAAGATACACCTTCTTGTTTCCGGCCTTTTGAGGGATTTTAGAGTCCGCAATACTCACGTTACTCGGAAGCTCTACGTACTCAGGCCTTGACACTGCTGCATGCATAAAAGCAACGCTCACGTCACAGCTCAACACTGAACCTCTTCGACAAAGCAGTGCCAACAGAAGCCGCAATCCCTCTAAACTCGTAGTCGGGCTGTAGATACCTTCAGACAAGGTCGTGCCTCCCATCGAAGCATAATCTCTTACTACCAGACGTGACCGGTACAGCCCTTTACGCTTGACCGCGTTGACCCACCGACTGGTAAGTACCCGCCTGCCGCTCTCACGTGCGGACTTCCGGGCCTCATCTTCAGAGATCACCTTTCCTACTCCGAACGACTCGAGTTCCTCTAGTTCCAACTTCATTGAGGCATACAAAAGGCTCGGATCCAACTGTTCTCCGGATGTTTCAGAGACCGCATTTCGTGGTACCTGGCACTTGACCCTACTTCCTCCGAATTTCAAGGTAAACGAGTCAGCCACCTCCTGTGAGGTAGCTCGAAGGTCAGGTCCTCGGTACAAAGACTCCAAGAGGTGATTCGTAAGCCAATCAATCTCCATGTCCTCCATGTTTTCCCCCTCATCAGGCAGGATCCCTGCCTCACCTTCTTCCGCCGGGGCACTTACGGGAGCATAGGTATCGTCAGCAATCATCTCTTCGTCTTCTTCATTTAAAGGACCAACACCACCTTCCATGACTTCATCTTCAGGACCATTACCATCATCAACACCTTCGGGTTCATACAAGACAGGCCGTTCTGGGTCTTTACCATCAAGAACCAAAGACTGCGCAACAGCGAGGCCTTCGACAGTTCCCACCTCGCACGCTCCATCAACGATTCTTCCGGTCGGAAATACGTCAATCTCCGTACTACCAAAAGGGGTCGCGAAGATCCCTCCACCTCGTGCGTTCACGGGTCCTAAGTAAACAGCCTTGACTGTTTTCGCTCCCCGGTATTTAGCAAGATGCGCCTTCGACTTGCTAACTTTTGCCTGAACCACACAACCAAAGGGAAGCGTTCTAGTTCGGTGAACTATTTCCTCGTGCAGCAAATCAATGCTGGTGGTGGAGTCACCGTGGCCCGAGGACCACAGATTGTAACACCTCGACACATAGAACACACAGGCTTGCCACAAGAGACCCCCTAAGGGAAGCTGGTACTTTCCCAGCTCTGCATCTTGACCAGGGAACTTCTTTAGAGCAATTTGGCGCTCCAAGTCCAACCACACAGCCCAGAAGCCTTGGCGTACCGATTCAACTTGTCGTTCTATTGACCCTTTGGCTTGTGGCCTATATCCTGGAACCACATCAACAATAGTTGCGCTGTGGGGGCAGTTTCGGGACCTACTCAGTCTTTCCGCCAAAGCAATGATAGATCCTTCCTGATCCATTCGAAACGTCACGGCTTTGCCTACCAGTCCCATCTCACGCAGCACTCTGTTGATGTTAGCAAGCAATTGTGGATCTTCGAGGTTCGGCGCGGGCAGAC